TGTCCATTCACTTCTTTTGCCTATTTTTCTACTGGATTCACTAAACATGTATTTATTGAGTACTTATCATGTACCAGGTCATATTTTAGGCACTGAGGATATGGTGGAAAAAAACTCCATCTTTATATTCTAGAAAGGTGATACCCAAACAACAAAATACGTTAATTATATAGCATATTAGAAGGTGATAAGGGCTATGAAGAAACCTGAGCAGAGAAGAGGGTGAGGAGTGTCTGGCTGGTGATCTGCAACTTTAAATCTTGTGGACAGGACAGACCACACAGAGAAGGTAATATCTGAGCAAAGACTTGAAAGAGGTGAGGGAATGAGCAAGGTGCCCATCTGATGGAAGAATTTTCCAAGAAATGGGTTGAAAAAGCAGCTTCCCGAGCAGGAGGAGGAGAATAGGTTAGATCTGAGAGATAAGAGGCAGTTGTAAGGGCTGGTTTTTACTCTTTGAGTAAAAAATCACAGGAGAATTGAGCAAAGTATAATAGCAAAATTAATCAGTAACAATCATGTACATGGTAATATGTTCCATGCACTGAGCCAAGTACTTTACATATATTAACTTACCTTCAATATATTCTAAGAGGGAGGCAAGAACAGAAGCAGGGAGACTTGTTCTGGTTATATTTTTTTCTTACTGATTTATAGAATTTCCTTATGTATTCTAAGTACCATACATCTTTTGACAATTATATGTGGATGCAGATATCTTCTCCTAGTCTATGGGTTGCTTTACGGTTTTAGCCATGCCTTTTGTTATTCAGAAGTTTCAAATGTTATTGTAGTCAAATTTACCGAACTTTTTCTTTATAGCTTTGCTTTAATTTTTCTTGACTCTTGTACTTGATCTTTTTGCCACCAGTCCAGCCACACTCAGACTCAGTCTCGACTAATGTGGCACCTATCTTCAGGAACATCACCATGATGCTTCCTGCTTAAAACCCTTAGAGAACTGTCTGACTCACAGCTACCCTATGTACAACAGAACAAAAGATTGCCAGGTCCTGCACCATTCTCACAAACATTGCTATGTTTGAGCCCATTATTGCAGCCACTGTGTCAATCCATCTTGTCGAAGGTCTTCCTCTTTTTCACTGACCCTCTACTTT